AATCTTTCAGCTGCCAGAACCCATCCCTTAAAAAGCTTTTTTTCAATGACTTCTCCCCCTGCAGAAGCAGATATGTATCTGCAGCCCCACTGAATTGGGCGGGGAGAGTTCATTGTACTATTTGGGGCAAGCTCCTTCCCGTGGGTCAGACTGCTAAGTTTATAGGTGTGCAAAAGCCTTGTTACACACCTGCATTCTTTTCTTTTCCCCTGGAAATCACTGGGGTCTCAGGTCTTCTGGCGGTCTGCTGCTGCATTTCAACCACAGGGATTTCAGGAAGCTCTTAGGGCCAAATAAATGGGGCTTAAAGAACTATTTGGCCTGATAGTTGCCCACCCTTGTTCTGATACTCTTCAATATTTATTCGCTATCTTGTCGTAGATGACCAGAGGCATAAACAGTGATTGGGTTTTTTAACAGCTAGTTGCCCAAGAATGGCTCTCCCAGCGAAGGTGTCCACAAGGGGTCAAAAAAGTCAAGATGGTCATCACACCCATCCATTTGAAGCCCTGTCCTTTTCTCATATGCCCTTGCTCTCAAACCATAGATTCCTTCACCGCTGGCCATGATAGTTGGAGTTGAGTCCAGCACATTACAAAATCCAGAAGTCAGATCTGGTCCAGAGGCTGAGTTGAATCTCATTTTGGTTTCCAGCTCACTAAGTGCCTTCTTTAATCTCTCTTTCCCAGCTCCCCCACCACACAATCTTGTATGATGATAATAGCAATGATCTACCTCACAGGACTGTTGTGGAAATGATCTAAAATGCTTTGAACATTCTGCTATTATTTATTATCTCCTTTTTTTAGAACATTCCCAGGTTTCTATCCAATTCCAATAGGATTTTTCTTTCAGTTTCTTGCCCCTTGCTTTCTCCCCACGTTTCTATTTAAATGCTGATCTAAGAATGGGTTTTACATGATGCATAAATGTGCACTAAAATGCATGGAAAGGGAGAGAGAGAGAAAGAGATTAAAAGAAAGGGTGCAATCAATTCTAAATGTTGATGACTAGGACAATCTCAGCTAAAAATGTGCGCAGAACAGCCCTGCGGTGGAAAGATGGCCATTGTATTTTTCAAGCAAACTGGTGGATGCTGGGTGAAATGAATGCATTGATTCAGTTCCTTTGTAGAGATTGGCAGGTTTCATTCTTGCTCACAGGGGGTTGATCCCTGGTAAGCAAGATAGGAATAACCATTCTCTTTCTTGCTTATATGTAAAGTATGAGGAAGAAATGATGATTTGGCTACCTGATATGGGCTTGTCATGTTGACTATCTAGCAATTCAATCTCTCGTTTGTTGTGTTTATAGTTAAGATCGCATTCAGAGGCATCCGGAACATTCTTCCAATCTATAAGATGCATTCAGAAAGCGTGCTTAGACTTCATGACTGAATTAACCTGTTTTTCTAGGTTTGCGCAAGACTTTGGAACTGAAACTGAAATCCCACTGCATGTTGGGCCACCAGAGAAAAGCAAAAGTAGCTAAGATGAAAACTAGCCGCGCATAGCATGTTCGATGAATGCAGCCGCTAGATTTGTAACTGACACGGTGAACGGGGTTGCAGGAACACCGCTATTTGGGTTCCCTCGCCACTGAGAATTCAGTTTGCCTGAAGTGTTATCTCCTTGGGCTTTTAAGACCTTCTCAGGATATCCCTGCCAAATGACAGGAGACTACTTTTTATTTTTAAAAGATAGATAGATGATAAATAAATAGGTCTTTCAGGGTGGTGCCTTGGTTGTGGTGAACCATCAGGGTTCTGCAACATACGTAGCTTAGTCCTTTGGAAACTCCAGTCAATCTTTTTTATTATTATTTCTATCTCTCATTGCTTGACATATGTCGTGCTCTAAATCCTTCTCCCCAGCTGGAGATCATAAATAAGGCTGGGCGGGTCTGCTTGTCCTATCCCTCAGCTTCTTCAACCTTATCTCCATCCCAGCCTCTGAGATGGCTCTTTTGATGGTTGGCAAGGCCAGATCTTCCTAACCTTGGAAAGAGCCAGCTGTAAAGATGGAGGGAACCCATCCTGAATCCCATCCTTGGAGTTCTAGAAAGGGCAGGGTGAGGAAGAAGATATAGGAAGGAACCATGGTTAGATGCCACCTTCCCATGTTGGAGCTTTGGAGATGGCAGGCAGAAGAAGAGCGGCCATGCAGAAGACAGACGGAAGAAGGAAGTGGTGTGAATTTTCATCTTCCAAGTTGTAGCTCCATGGGAAAATGTAGAGATGCTTGACAGGCTGGAATGTTTTCCTAAAGCCACAGGACTCTACCCTTAGATTTGCAGGCACTGTAGTTTGCATTCTGTCCATAGTTTAGGACTTAAGTAAGGGAGAGAAGTAAACTCAGGCACTAGAATATAGTTAGATTGTTGTTTGTTGTTCTTGAA